ACAGGAGAGCTGAGCTGTGTTTGTGTCCCCAGCCCGTGCGCCGGCAGTCGCTGACGCCGCCGTCCCCCAACACCATCTCCTGGGAGGAATACATCTCTGCTGAGAGTGGCAAGTGAGTGCTGCTGGGGCTCCAGGGCTTCCAGGGACCCCTCTGTGTTCCTGGGGTGGGTTGGGGGGTTTGTGTTCTGCACCTGGGGGTGCTGCTGTATTTCTGTGGGGAGGGGGAACGCTGGGTTTGGTGTTTCAGGGTTCTGCAGAGGGCTGGGAGTTGATCCCTGTGTGTGGGAACAGGGTCAGAGCCTCASCTGCAGCCAGGGAATGCTTTGGGCTGGAAGGGACCTCAAAGCCCATCAGTTCCACCCCTGCCATGGGCATTTCTGGGTGTAGTTAATGAACACTTCCTGCAGGGTTTATTGACACCATGTTTGTGAGGAATTGTTGGAAGATTTCTTTGAGTAGTTTCCCTGGTTTAGCAGAATTCAAATTAATCTAAATTAAGACTTTTTTTTATCTTTACTATGTAATAAATCCTTTGAAAGTAGGGATTCTTCCCTAATGTTTTCTATCCCAAGTCTATTTCTCTTCCTCTAAACCCAGGGTTTCCCTGGGAAATTCTGACTTTGCCTCTCCCTCTTCCTCACAGAGCTCCTCACCTGGGCAGGGAGCTGGTCTGCAAGGAGAGCAAGAAAACCTTCAAAGCCACGATAGCAATGAGCCAGGAATTCCCCTTAGGAATTGAATCGTGAGTCCGAGCTCCTGGCATGGGGGTTATTCCTGTAGGGAATGTTTTAACACTGCAGAATSCTCCAGATCCCTGGGATGGGAGCTGCCACAGCAAAAGCTGGGAGTGCATTCAGGCTCTCCCCATTAAATTGGGGAGCTGGGAGCTGCTGTGGCTGAGGAGGAGCCAAAACCTCACCTGGTTTGAGAAGAGCAGAGCTTTGGGAGTGTTATCCATAACTGGTCCCCCATGTGCCTGATCCCATGGGATTCTGAAATTTGGGRTTTCCCCATAAGTTTTAGCACAAAATTGTGTCCCCTAAGCCAGTGCAAAGCCAGATCAGCTCCTCATGTCCATGGAGAAAGGGGGGTGGTAGCACATCCCTCACCTTCTGTGGAAAATGGGATTGGAGAAACAAGGAATTGCTGTCCTGATGTTGGTTTGTTGTAATTCTGGATCACGGGGAGCTGCAGTGGGGGTGACCCCAAAGCCCTGGGGATGGAGGAGGGGATGATGTCATTGTCACCTTTGTCCCCGTGGTCCCTTTGGATCACGTTTTCCTGTTCCAGAGGGACAGGGGGTGGGAGGAGGATCTGTCACGAGCTCTGCTCTCTTTTGCAGGTTGTTGAATGTCTTAGAAGTCATTGCACCGTTCAAGCACTTTAACAAACTTAGAGAATTTGTTCAAATGAAGCTCCCACCAGGCTTTCCTGTCAAGTTAGGTAAGAGCACACACCAACTCCTGGGGTTTTACATATCCAGGATTTTGGGTTGGAAAAGCCCTCTTAAGATCAAGTCCAACCATTCCCCAGCACTGCCAAGGCCACCACTGCCCCATGTCCCCAAGTGCCACATCCACAGGGATTTCAAATCCATCCAGGGATGGGGASWCCATCCCTGCCCTGGGCAGCTGTGCCAGGGCTGGCAGCCCTTTCCAGGAAGGAATTTTCCCAAATACCCAGTCCAGATCTAAACATGTGCCCTTATTCCTTCARTATATTCAGAAGGTCTTAAATAGAGTTTTGGGAAAGAACCCTGACCTAGGAATCTGTTCCTGGAGATTTCAGGAGCACAGCAGTGCWGGGGCCTTGCTCCAAGGGCAGTGGGATGTGCTGGATTATTATTCCTGCTTTGGAGGAGGATCTCAGGTGTGGAGTATTGTGTAGCATTCCTGTGTTTCCTTCAAGGACTACTGGTGATAGATTTATTTTAAGTGAAAAATAYAAAACTATTGGACTTGTAACAGATGGGAATGTCTAAAATCAATTTGGACATGGGATAGATGATTATTAATGGGATAGAGATCCTATCTCCATAAACAGGAGTCCCTTTCCTAAGGGATGCAGGATTTCTGGAATCCTAAGGGATGCAGGATTTCTGGAATCCTAAGGGATGCAGGATTTCTGGAATCCTAAGGGATGCAGGATTTCTGGAATTGCAGGGAGCTGTGTGAGCCTGGACAGGCTGTGCTCTACCTCTGCCATATTTGCACAGCATTCCAGAGGACTTTGGGTTGGGAGAGACCTCAAATTTCCTGCCATAGCAGGGACACCTCCACTGTCCCAGGCTGCTCTAAACCCTGTCCAGGGGTGGGGATTGGTGCCATTTCTGTGCCCTTGAGCATGCCCCATTCCCTGCCCCACAGATATCCCGGTGTTCCCCACCATCACGGCCACTGTGACGTTCCAGGAGTTCCGCTACGACGAGTTCGATGACTCCATCTTCACCATTCCCGACGACTACAAGGAGGATCCCAGCCGCTTCCCGGACCTCTAAGGGCCCCGGGAGGTTCCTGGGGATCATCCCCAGCGGCACCCAGGGCAAGGGCGTGGCTGCAGCCCCGGAGGGCAGAGCCAGCACGGAGCACACACGAGGCCGCAGCAAAGGGAACGAGCAGCAGCGCGGATGTGCTGCCACGGCCGCTCCTGCTGCCATTCCCTTTGGCACAGCCAGTCCTGCCACCCCCAGAGCTGGGAGGAGCTGCTGCTTTTTAAAAGTTTTTTATGCTCGTGGCCATCCACAGGGCACTGCTGGACCTTGGCACCGGGGTGAGCCCCCAGGCCGTCCCTGCTCCCCGTTCCCTGAGCTGGCAGCTCAGCCGTGGAATGTCGGCAGGTATCCYGAAGGAATGCCTTGGCTGTAAATGAATGAACCAAACGGGCACCACTGACTCTTGGATTTCCTCCTGCAATCCTGGGCAGAGCTGGCTGTGCTCTGCAGAGAGTGAGGCACCTCCCTGCCTGATCCCTCATTCCTGCTTCTCTCTCTGCTCTCTGCTCCCTGTGTTTGGGGGAGCACTCCAGGGCTGCCTGGCCAGAAATGTCATTGTCATCCTTTATTTGACCCTCACTTGGGAGAGTTGTCCTGGAAAGACCGAGCACCACCAGGTCAGTTCGTGTGTCCCCTCAGCAGTCCTGGAAAACTGGGATGCACAGAGCCTGGGAAAAGCTGGGGCATTTATTACCCCTTCCTGCAGGAGGAGCTTTGCCTGCGCTCGGGATCACTGTGGTGCTCACAGGAGCTTGCACTGGGATGTTTCCACAGGAGTTTCCAGTCTCTTTGTGTTTTAATCACACAGAATCCCAGACTGGTGTGGGGTGGGAGGGACCTTAAGGCTCATCTTGTCCAGCCCCCCATCATGGATATTTCAGTACTCCAGCTTCTCGAGCTTATTCCCATTCCCAGTGGTTCCAGTCTCCTCATCTGACAATAATCCACCTTTTTGGGGTTTCTTAGGCAGGATTTGTGCAAAAGGCTGATGGTGCTATTTGTTTGTATGAAGAAATTTAGATTCAAGTGCTGTGGTGTCATTGTACAAAAGTGTAAATATTTTCCAAATTATATTCTTTGTGCACTGTAGGTAAAACTTTTTCTGGAATTCCATAGAGTTAAGGATCAAAGTTTATAATGAAGAGGATCTTTGATGCTCAGTGGAGGGAACAGCTGTGCTGAGCACGAGGGACAAGGGAARGGCTCAGCACAGTGCAAGGTGTCAGGCACACCTGAGAGCAGGGGATTCCACACTGCTGGAATCTGGGATCCATCCCAAAGAGGCTGCTCTGGGCAGGGAATCACTGTCAGTGGAGTCTGGGGTGGGAGGGGGGGTTGGTCCTTCCCAAAACCTCTGGGGAGCAGGGGAGCACTGGGATTTGTGGGAATAGGGGAGCACTGGGACAGGGCAGCAGTGCAGCTTTGGTGTTAATTCAAACTCAAATCCAAAATAAAACTTATAGGGAAAACGAGCAAAGGGAAATGCCTCCTGCAGAGCTGTGTCAGGGCGGGTGTGGAGCATCCACCAGGAATGATGGAACTTGTTGTCCAAGTAAGGATGAATTCCTGGCGTGTTTCACACCTCTGGGATGAACTGACACCACTGGTGCTGCTCTGGGAGCCGGGTGGGAACCTCTGGGACACACTGGGAATGGCTGTGGGGCTGAGCTGGAGCTTGGATTGGTGCCTGTGGGCAGCACAGTGCTCTGTCCCCTCCCTCCCCGGTGTCCCCTGTCCCCTCCCCGGTGTCCCCTGTCCCCTCCCCAGGGTCCCTTGGTCCCTTGAGGATGTTTTGTGTAGCTGCAGGACCTGTGCCAGGTGTGGAGCTGAAGCTGGTGCCATACAGACCACCCCAGTCCTTGGGAATTGCAGTGAGGGAGGAGGATCCTCCCCAAGGTGAATGTCAGAAATGGCATTCCTCAGTGGTACAGGGAGGATCCGTGGATTTGTGTTTGTTTGCAGTGTTGGTTATCCCAAATCCATCCCTGGCTCCATGGAAGCCACTGCTGGATCCCAGGGTGGATCCCGGGCTTGGAACTGGAAAACAGAAAGGACTGAGGCTGCTGTGGCTCATCCATCCCCTGTGGGACTGGTGGCCGTGGGGTGTCTGCCCAAAGCCCAGGGCAGGTCCTGGAAGGGTTCCTGTGGTTCCCGTGGCCTCAGGCAGCAGCTTTGGGGGATTTTGCCCCTCCAGGACACGGCTGCTCCCTCGGACACCTCCAGCCTTTGCAGGAAGGGCTGCAGGGAATTGTTCCTGAGGCTGGTTCTGCATTGGAATGTGGGCACAGGAGTGGAGCTGTCCTGTTCTGCTTTGTCCCAGGAACCACCC